GGGGGGAGGAGTTGCTACAGTCCACGTTCCTCTGCGCCTGTTCCCAATCCATGCCCCTGAAGGAGGTGTGGACTGGAAATATGCTTGACCATCTCTCCAGAATTTACCAGATACTCAGTAAATCCTGACTTGGGGACATTTTGCTGAAGGTGGTTCCCAAGAGGAGCCCTTCTGGGATTTAACGAGAGCCTGTAGTGGCCCATATTCTTAGGAGTATTAGCTTGGGGCACCTGACGCCAGGGACTCTGCTGGGCCATTCTTGTGTGACCCATGAGTTTTACTGGGCAGCAGCACACTTGAGGGAGCCAGGGATCTAGTCTGTAAGAGGTTGCCAGAGGGAGGTGGTGACCCTTTACATGTGTGGGACTGAGTTTTCTCAGCTGTGATTATCCACCCTTCGTGTCCTGAGTGGGACGCAGTCTTGACCTCACTGAGTAAGTTGCCCTGTGCCTCAGTTTTCTTGGCAGTAACGCAGAGATGTTAGGATTAGGGCAGTTGTTCTGAGCCTTCCTAATGCTTCGACCCTTTCATACAGTCTCATGTCGTGGTGCCTCCCAACCGTAAAACTATTCTTTGCGACTTCATAACTGTCATTCTACTACCGTTATGAATCACAATGTAAACATCTGATATTTTCGATGGTCTTAGGTAACCCCCCCCTGTGAGAGGGTCCTTAGAGCTCCCTAAGGGGTCGCGACCCACATGTTGAGAAACTTCGGGTTAGCGGCTCTGGCTGAGTGCTGCGCATGAGCTAACTGCGCCGCATTGCTGGTATCCTGAGGTTTATGACCAAAAAAAAAAAAAAAAAAAAAAAAAAACCCGCCCAACTGAGCGCAACTGAGCTGGTGGCACTGGGTGATAAGGAAGAGTCACCAGGGAGCATAGTGGTCAGGCAAGGCATCTCTGCCTGATAAGACCCCAGAATACCTTCCGGGACGGAGTCTAGGACCTGGAATTCTGAGTGGAGGGTGTGCAAAGACTGTGAAGGACACGGAATTCCGAGTGGAGGATGTGCAAATGTCCCGAGAGACGCGGAATTCCGAGTGGCTTGCGTGCAAAAGCAGGGACAGACACGGAATGGAGGGTGTACAAAGGTCGGGAGGGACCCGGTATTCGGAGTGGAGGGCGTAAGTGGCCCGAAGGCAGGGCCCAGATGACTGCAACTGAGGCAAGCCAGCGGATGCTGGAGCCGGAGGCATTCGCACGAGTCGGGGGAAAGAAGAGATAGCAGCGCCGGAGTGGGGGTAGCCAGTGCAGACGGCGTCAAGGGCTTCTGCGCTCTGTGGGGAGCGCGTCGGTTCCCACTTTGACAAGCGAAAGACTAGGAAGCACAAGAGAGCAGGGATCCTGGCACACGGTGCGCCGGTTCAGAGAGCTGCGCCACTCGGAGGGGCCGCTTCAGATGGAGGCCACGCCCATAACTCACCACCAGAGCACCGCCCACTCCCCGCCCACCCCCATCCCCCTCCGGAATCCCGCGCGGCGCGAGGGGGCGGGCTGCCCGGGCCATGGCGCATAAAGCCTCTGGCCACCTGCAGGGCTACTGCTGCTCTGGCCACGGACTCGGACTCACCTTGCTGAAGCGGGAGCCTCGGCTTCAATCATCTCTGTCGCTGTCTCCTTCAGGCCCTGAGCCCCGCGAACCCGGGCCGCGCACGCGGACATGGGCGGCAGCGCCAGGGCGCGCTGGGTGGCGGTGGGGCTGGGCGTCTTGGGGGTGCTATGCGCTGCGCTTGGCGTTGTCATGATCCTCGTGGTGCCCTCGCTCATGAAGCAGCAGGTGTTGAAGGTGAGTGATGCGTCCTTCGGGGAAGCGGGACGCAGGGTGGGACCGTGGCGCTTCCCACCTTCCCACCACCAGGGAGGCCCAGATTCACCCCGAGGCTTGGCGGTCTGAGTCACCAGCGTCCCAGGGGCCTGACCCTTCTTACTGGAGCAGAAGTATGGCCTGATTGTTCCTGAGTTTCGATTGCTGCTGCCCTGACCACCAGACCTTCTATACATCTCGGCTGGTGACTGTACCTAGTGACCTCCGTCAGGGCAGTGGGCAGCTGGTGTCCCTTGTATTATCTCTGTAAGGAAGGCTCCCTCGGACGCCCAGGTCTCAGTGGGCGCTCTGCCTGGCTCCTCCCGCCTAGATGCCCCAGCGATGCCCTGGCTCGCCCCCACGCTGCCTGCCAGCCTGAAGAGTTAAGCAGCTTTCTTCCCCCACGCTCTGGCAGAGACAGACAGTACCCAGGTCTGTGAGGGCAGGCAGCCCGGCCTCCCTCTTGATCTCAATGAGCCTTAGGTTTCGTTGCCCTTTCAACCGGGGACCTATATATTAAGCGGGCGGTGCCGGCAAGTCACAGACTCTGCCCTGGGAGCCTGTGTCCTCCGAATGAGTCCGGAGCTCATTAAGTCCTGGAGATTATCGTCTTATTACACTCCAGCTAAGGGTGTTTTTGAGACGCTAAGCTACTCCGGAAGGGGAAACCGAGGCTGGCCTTTAGGGAACATCCAGTTCGAACTGGACCTGGGATATAGATGGGGCTCATGTTCCGAGAGTTGATTGACATCTTCTTAGCGGGTTTGTTTACTGGGGATTTAAGAATGGCTTCGTGGACTGTGCCCCGTCGTAGGTGAATGAAGGAGGGAATGAATGAAGGCTGCTCCTTCGTAGGCCTGGCTGCCACCTCCCAGGACTTGGCTGGCCTTCCAGATGGAGCCACAGGTGGCTTTCCTGGAGTTCTGGTGGGCAGTTCTGAGCCCTCGTGGCCACACTGTCATTTCTAGTGCTTTGGATTTTCAACCCTGGTACCTGAAGATCCTCGGGGCTGGTGGCAAAGAAGTCCCCTGGTCCCAGGGCTTGCGGTATACGGAGGTAGAGGGAATCCCTCTTTCGTTGGAGCATCAGAACTAGCAAAGTAGCGGTGACAGCCTTGCCTCAGTAGCAGCCTGTGGTTTCGGCAACGCCAAGACCGGACCCTGTGTGTACCTAGCACGTGGGCTGCCTTCCTGCTCCTCACCCAGCTTGCTGTGGGTGGAGCGAGTAGGTGACCCCTGCTCCTCCTGTTTGGTGGTGAGGGGGGAATCTCCCTTCAGGAGTGTTTTCTTCATTGGGTTCCCAGACTCCCTTCAGAAGTGTTTTCTTTACTGGGTTGGCACAGAGTCTGCCGGGGTGGGGGTGGTGGGGTGTTAACGTGTTAGCACTGGGACTGCACATGCCTGTCAGATCAGTGTGTGGGGGGCATCTGCCCCGGGCTTTGAGAAGGAAAACCGTGTTTGGCGGAGTTGTCCTACAGCTAGAAGCTTGGGGCTTTAAGTTTGAGTGAGCGGCTTCCAGCACCCTGTGTGAAAATCCCAAAGGCGATTGGTTGGGGGCTGAGTGGCGTGAAGGAAGGAAGACAGGAAGACACGCCTAGCCCCAGACAGCGGCTTCTTAGACGCCCTGGCTGGAGTGTAGCCGACCTCCTGTGGGAGAAGAAAGCTCACTTCAGCGGCTGGCTGGAGGGTGGGGGCGGAGGGGAGCAGGGAGGGATCCCGGAGTTGACTTTGGCCACTTTCGTTCTTTGCGACTTGAATAGAAGCCTTGTTTTTTGAATTTTCATGTTTTATGCTTTTTTTTTTTTTTTTTAAAAGAAGTTGATGTACAAAAGGCAGGAATACTTGGTTATTTAAGAAAAAAAAAAGCAGGGCTGGGGAGATGGCTCAGGTAGGACACAGTCCTAACAAGCTCAAAAGAGGCCTAAGGCAATACCTGGTTCCAAGAAAGACCACAAACTGAGACCACCCAGGTACCACCCAGGAACAGACCACCCAAAAGAAACTCCTAATGTTCCAACCATTGGAGATAGAATCACCTGCCAGCACCCACCCATTGCTTGTGGTGCTCTTCCAGAGGACCTGGGTTCAGTTCCGAGCACCCACATGGGAGCTCACAACTATCTGTAACTCCAGTTCCAGGGGATCTGACACCTTCACACAGGCACATGGGAACTCACAACTATCCGTAACTCCAGTTCAAGGGGATCCGGCACCCTCACACAGACATACATGTAGGCAACACCAATGTCATAAAATTAAAAATAAATTATAAAGAAAGAAATCAGGATGGGGTATAGCTCAGTGACAGAGCCGTTACCCAGCAGGTAACAGGCCCTGGCTTACAACACACACATACACACAGAGAAATTTCTTCTGATGTTATTATCATAGGCATAGTATCTTTTTAGACTTTTCAGTATATGTATATACGATCGTTTGTGTGTGTGCCCGTGTGTGTGTGTGTGTGTGTGTGTGTGTGTGTGTGTGTGAGCCAGTAGACGGCCAGCGAACCCCAGCCGTCCTCCTGTCTCTGCCTTCCCATAGCCAGGGGCTGTTCCAGGTACTCTCAAGTCTACCCAACATTTAATGTGGTGCTGCAGCTTCAAACTCATGTCCTGTTTGCCCAGCAAGCACTTTGCCCATGGACCTACCTGGCCAATTCTGATGGCCGTCTTTACAAAACCTGAACTGGATAGCATATGCCTTTCTTCCTTCTTTTTATTTATTTATTTATTTATTTGTTTTTGAGCCATGGTCTCAGTTATGTAGCTCAGGTTGGCCTCAAACTCACTGAGATTCACGTATGGCTACATTTGAATGCTGGGGTTAAAAATGTGCACCACTCATGCCTGGCTTAAGTAGTATGGTTTTTCTGTTCCGTGTTAGTGCTAGAAGTGTGTGTGTGTGTGTGTGTGTGTGTGTGTGGTGGGGGGCTGGGCTTGCCACACAAGTAGAGGCTAGAGGTCGATACTGGGTGTCTTCCTCAATTGATCTCCCCCTTGTTTTTTGAGACAGGCTCTTTCATTGGATGTGGGGTGTACCTTCTCTGCTAGACACTGGCTGTGAGTCCCTGGGATTTGCCTGCTCCACCTGCCCCAGTGCTGGGCTTCCCAACATATACTGCTGCACTCAGCTTTGTTACTTTTGTTTGTTTGAGACAGAGTTTCTCTGTGTAGCCCTGGCTGTCCTGGAATTTGCTCTGCAGACCAGGCTGGCTTCAAATTCAGGGATCCACCTACCTCTGCCTCCCGAGTGCTGTGAGACTGAAGGCGTGCGCCACATTTGGCCACACCTGGCTAGGTGTTCAGCTTTTGTTTGGATTCTGGGAATCAGAACTGAGATCCTCTAGGAAGCTCTTGACCCACTGAGCTATCTTTCCAGTCCTGTTCAAAGGTTTCTGCATGACAGGCAGAACATGCCAGTCTATTCTGCCCCCCCCCCCACTGTGTGGTAGTCCTTTGTTTACCTATTCCTCTGTTGACTGGCTACTTCCTTTGACCCAGGCTATAGAGAACACATACCCTCATGTGTGAGCCCACAGACCCTTTCAATGTCATTTCGTCCTTCCTCTCCCTGACAAACTGGGGGACCACTCACTTCCCCTTATTCCCTCTTTCTTCACCCTCTTTGGCTCTCCAGTGGCTTTGATTCATATCTTCAGCTCCACGAGGTTGGGCAGGAATGTGATGTCCACGTAGGTGACTGGTTTCCAGAGCTTAGGGGTGCAGGCCCACTGTGCCATGTGCTAGCTGGGGCCCATCCATCACTTGGGAGCTGGGCTTTCTCAACGAGACAGGGGTTTGATCTGGTTTGCTCCTCCAAGGGATTAGCAAATTACAAGGGGGATTACAAGCGCATTTGGAAATGTCCTGTGAGCCTGCTTGATTCTTTCTTTCTGGTTTGAACCCAGCCACAGTGTTGTGAAACAGGCCCAGGCTGCGGAATTCTTCCTTTCTACAGATAAGGGATTGGGCCATAGCAAAGGTCAGGGAGCTAGTTATCAAGCATGCCCTGTGGTGGGCTGGGAGGGACCTAAAGTGTCCATGCTTGTTTTACCCGAGCAGGACATAGGCAAGAGCCCACTTTGTACAGTGCGCTGCTGGGCAGAGGCAAAAAAGAAGAAGGGCCAGGTTACAAAAACACATGGGCCGGGTGGTGGTGACGCATGCCTTTAATCTCATCACTCGGGAGGCAGAGATGGGCAGATCTCTGTGAGTTCGAGGTCAGCCTGGTCTATAGAATGAGTTCCAGGACTGCCGGGATTACACAGAGAGATCCTGTCTTAAACAAAAACCAAAAGAAAAGGAAAGAAAACACATGAATGATGGAGGAAAATCTCTGTTCCTGTTAAAGTCCCCTGCCCCAGCCTCTTGCCTGTCATCCCAGCTACTTGAAGGCTGAAGCAGGAGGAATATAAATTTAAAGCTGGCCCTGGGCTGCACAGGGAGTTCAGAGCCATAGGCTGTACAAGAAATTCAAACAGTGAGGCCCCGTCTTTAAATAAAGCATAAGCTAGGCACATTGGTATACACTTTTAATCCAGTTCAGAAGGCAGAGGCAGGCAGATTCCTGAGTTTCTGGACCCTGCCTGTAGATAGATAGATAGATAGATAGATAGATAGATAGATAGATAGATAGATAAGATAGATAGAAAGGTAAAAAGCAAGTTGAGTATATAGCTCAGTAATACACCACTTGCCTCATATGTGCAGAACTCTGGGTTCAATTCCCAGTGCTGCAAAAACATAATAATAATAATAATAATAATAATAATAATAATAATAATAATAACTATCAGTTTTCTATATTTTCAACAGATTCATGTCAATGCAGTAACAATTTAGAAAAAGGTATGGAAGGGTTCACACCAGACACACGAAGTAGATAATGCTGAACCCATGATTCTCTGTGCATTTTTGCTTTATTTTATGCGTGTAGGTGTTTGTCTGTGTGTTCATCTGTGTACTGCGTGTGTGCAATGCC